AGGCTCCATCTATTGGTGGGGAGCGTCACCTGCTGGAAAGCGGGTCCAGCGTCCCTTACACAGACTGAACTTTGAGTGCCTCTGAAATGTGGTGAGCTCCTGCCAGCATTGATTGCCCTGGGACCCATGGGATTAACTGAGCAGGATTTTTTGGGGGAGGGGGAACCTCTTCACCCTGCATTCGGCGCCAGATACGCAGCTGCACGCTAGTTCCTCCCTCCCCCTGCAGCATATGCTGGGAACCGGGCCCAGCATCCCTTATGAATTGACAATTTTATCACCAGATGGACAACGGGTTCAGCGTCCCATCCCCAAAGTGGAAGCCAAAGCTGAGAACAGCATTAATTGCCCAGAAAACAATGAGCGTCCTATGCTGAGAACTAATCTGGCGTCCCATCCCCAAAGCGGAAGCCAAAACTGAGAGAGGAAGCTGCCAGCATTGATTGCCCAGAAAACGATGGACTTCCTATGCTGAGAACTAATCTGGCCAACTGAAGCTGCCCATTCAATCTGCTCCATACCATTGCAACTCCACCATTGCCAGCTTGGGCCGGGAAAGGGTCGGGGAAGTCTGTGGCAGGCCGCAGCGGGATCTCCTGGCCCACCGTAGTCCAGTCTCTGAAGCAGATGCGGTAGTCCCTCTTGAATTCCTCCTGATTGTCCTCCTGGGGGGGCTTACCCTCCCATTTAATTGATGCGATCCAGCCCCCAGTCTCCGCGCCCAACCAATCCTCAGAAAATTGATGAATTGCTTGGATAATGTCTTTTACTGTATGATATAGTTGGTTTTTACTTTTTGCCAACATATCATGATTTCTTATTGAATGTATTGCCTTATCATATCTGTTGACTCTTCCCCCGTTATGCGGACTCCCTCCATCACATGTATGTTTTCTCCAGAGGGCCCACGTAACCGCTCTTCTCCCCAATTTGAACATGTTATTTTCGAAGGTGTTGTCGGTGGGGGAGGACCATGCTTCGCATAATATGGCCCGCCAATCCCATGGCCAGTGAGAGTCAGTGCCCAGCCGAGTCCAGATCCTATCCCACCATCGCCATGTGAGCACTGCCCCTGGACACTGCATGAATATGTGCTCTATGGTTTCCGGGATTCTGCGGGGGGGCAAAGCAGTGTGGCATGACTTGCACCATGGTAATGCCTGCCCCCTTTGCTCCAGGTATGTGCCGGTCTATCAACCAGTCATTGGTGGGAAGGCAACGGTGTTCTATCTGCGATTGAAGAGAGGCCATCTTCGCAGGTCTAGATCTTGTGGCAGAGAACCATCGGATCGAGCGGATTGCCTCATTCCCTACCTTTAAATGTGACCTCCATCGGGCCTTCATTGTGTCTCTTATGTTCACTTTTGGTCGAAGCAGACGATATGTGGCCTTCACTGATAGAGTGTGCAGTTTTAGGTTCGTCCCTGTCTTGGGTTTTCACTCAGGGACCCACTGCCAATCGTCAGGGTCCAAGGGTAGCTCCATCAGGGGAGTGTTTGGCTGGTATGCGATCCACACATCTTTATCCCCGCAGCACCCGTATCCTATGCAGGTCTATTGTTCTCCACCATTTGTCCAGCTCTGGGCGGTACCGGGTGAGTGTGTTCTCCTTGCCAACGTGGAAGAGGTTTATCAGCGTTTCGTCTGTCCCTACCTCCACCACATTGCCGACGCTTTCCGGGTCCCCCGAGATAGCTACCCGGTCTCTTTCCTTCAGCCGCGATCCTCTGCGCAGAATGCGCACCCAGTCAAGGGGGACTGCAGCGGTCAACAGATCAGCGTTCTCGTCAATCTTGTGACAGTGTTTTAGTATAGTTCTCAGTTGTGGTCCCGATTTCCAGTCGCCCACTTCCATGTCCCATATGTCTTTTATTCGGATTATGCCTTTTTTTACCCAACTGTTCCACGGGGTGTCTGAGCTGCGATACACCCTGCCATGCCGGTCCGTTATCCTCTGTTCCCGAAAAGAGGCTGGCGCATCACTTCCTCCCACCTGGTTGGTGGAGGTTGGTCAAGCAAGGGAAGTCGGCACCAGACCTTAATGACTCGGGTCCAGAAGTCATCTCTGACCAAGTTCAAACGGGCTGCATCGCGGGGTGAGTCTCGCTGTACCCGGGGATGCCTTGGCACAGTCCAAAAGCGGTCTTCTAGCCAGGTCAGTGGGCTCAGTCCTTGCGGTGTCTGTGGGGCAAGTCTGGCTATCTGTTCCAGCACCAGGGCGTTCCATGGGAGGTGCTCAGTAAACAACAATCTCTTGACCCATTGGATAGTTAATGCTGCAATCTGGGTGTCCGGGTCCAGGATCCCCAGGCCCCCTTTGATCTTGGGTTGAATCACCGAAGACCAGGCTACTCTGCTAATGACGTTCAAGAGCTCACCATCACCTTTCCATAGAAGGGCCACTAATTGTCTTTTAAGCGATCGAACAACCTCTTTGCTGAGGGTCCAAATTGTCGATTTATACCATAAGGCCGCGAGCACTACGCTGTTGATCGCGAGTGCTCTGCCGATAAGGGAGGTGTGCCAGTCTTTCCAGTTGGTTAGCTTTTCCAGAGCAGGCTTTAGAATCCATTCGTCATTTGATGCTGGTTTACCTACTGCCGTCAACCTAATTCCAAGCACTCTAAGCGGGGCCGTATCCGGGAGCCATTTAACCTGAGGTAGCTCCGGTGGACGTACTCCTTGATGGTGGATCGACCACCCCAAGGTCTTGTTTCCCCAGTTGACCGTCATGTCTGAGGCTGCTGTAAATCGGTCAAACAGTTTCCTAATTTCCTCCATGTTTGCTGCAGTGGCATCCATCATAAGAGTCAGGTCGTCCGCAGACATCGAGCAAACATGGATCGCGTCTTCCGGGATAGCGGAGATCTGCAGTCTCCTCAGCTCTTTGTTGGCACGGAGGTTTGCTGCCAGTGCTTCAATCACAATGATGAAGAGGAAAGGTGCCAGTGGATCCCCTTGGCGAACCGATCGTTGCAGTGGAAACACCAGCGCTATCCTACCGTTGACTTGGACACACATGGTAGCGTTGTGATGTAGTATTTCGGTCCATCGTCGGAATACTGGTCCAATATTCATTTTTTCCATACATTTGTCTAGAAATAGCCAGTCCACGTGGTCGTATGCTTTTTCAAAGTCAATGAAGACAACCGCTGCATTCTGTTTATCTTGCCTTGTTAGTTTGAGAAGTTCATTCACCAGAAGGATATTGTCGTGAATCCTACGCTCTTTGACAAAGTCGGTCTGTGTTGGGTGAATGATGTCTTCCAGGACCGGGGTTAGACGGTTTGCCAGAGCTTTTGCCAGCATTTTATAGACCACTGTGACTAGCGTTATCGGCCGGTAGTTTCTAATATCCATCTTATCCCCTTTTTTGTGCAACAAGGTAAGGATTCCTTGCCCCACCAACTCCCCCATCTGCCCGGTGTCCCATACTTGACGATAGAAATCCATGAGGTCTGGGGCCATCTGAGTCCAGAAGGTCGCCTAGAACTCCTTATGGAATCCATCTATGCCAGGGGTCTTTTCTTCGTCCATTTGCATCATCGCCGTCCATATTTCCTCCTTGGACAGGGGACGGTCCAGATCTGCTTGTTGTTGGCCCGTCAGGGTCTTTTCCAGCGGTTTCAAGAAGTCTTCAATTTCCTTCTCCCTGACATTTCTCTCCCGCTGGGCGCATCTTGAAGTAAACAGATCCTTGTAGAAAGACCTAGCTATTTGTACGCAGTGGGGGGAGGAGGTGACGATATCTTGGTGTCCGGTCTTGGGTCGTATAACGCTTCTATGGTGGTTCTGTGTGCACGTGCACAAGATATGTTGAATAACTTTTTGTCCATTGTCCCTTCCGTTTGTAGCTTTGTCAGTCTTCCTCTTATCCGTGCTCCTTCCCAACGTTGTGTGGCGAAGCCCTGGAGTCGCTGTTGTAGTTTTTGGATTTCTGAGCGGTCGGGCGGTTGTGTGTTTGGCGAGTGTTGAGCATTATTTGAACTGTTGGGTTGATCTTGGTGTTTCAGTTGCTGCAGCTGTTGGTGAATTTCCATTTCCCGCTGATGTTTTCTCGCGGCTAGCAGTTTGGAATATTCTTGACATTTTTTACCCAGATAAAACAGTCCATTATTGAACCAGTATATGTCTTGTTGAAAATGCTGCCGTTGCGTGTGCCAGAATGTCCAAGAGTCCTTAATATAATTCTGGAATGTATTCTGTTTTAGAATAGAGGTATTGAGTTTGTAAAATCCAGGTCCCTGGTCGGGTTTCTGTCGGAACGGTAAGATGATTGTGCACATTTTATGATCCAGGCCTGGGTACGGGCTGGTAGGTAAGATCGTTGCCAGGAGCAGCGATCCTGCCGTGTCTTCCGAGACCAGAATTAAGTCTATCCGAGATCTCGACTGGCACTCAGTGCCAGTCTTCCGTATGCAGGAGTAAAATCTAGTATCCGGGTTTAGCCTTCGGAAGGAGTCTAACACTTTAGCGATAGGCATAGCTCGTGGATTATCCGCTCATCCTCTTCCACATACGCCGGGGGTGGGGATGGCGTTCGCCATCTGTCCATCCAACGATCTGGGGCTGCATTGCAGTCCCCTGCTATAACGACCGGTACCCCTTCCGGAATTTGCGTCTTGAGATTCTCGAAGAAGGTTCTCCTCTCGCTTACTGTGTTGGGGTGG